CAACATATAAAACATAATAACATGAATATAATATGTGCAAATAATAAAATGTAGACTCTATAAATAAACGTTACCTCTAAGGGGGACAGCCTGTCCAGCAATAACCGTATCGATCGGAGGCGGTCAACGGACTTCTTCTCCGAGCGCGGACTCCACGCACAAGCACGCGTCATCCCCTCATCAATAGGAACTGGGTCACGATGTGGTCGCAATGCAGGAAAATACTCGTATATCCAAGTCTGCAATAGAGTCAGACACCCAGTGATACCTGTCGCGTCAGCCCGACTCGCAAATCCTAGTTGGCGATACAAATACGCCAACGTAGCCGATCCCCAGGAAAACTGGCCTACACTGTCGGGGTCACACGCCTCTACGATGTCGCGTGGCCTGAGCTTGTTTCCGCCGCTCTTATCCGGAAACAAGGTACATCCGAGGAGTAGAAAAACATAAGCACTCAGCTGTGCGTCGGGCGTCCTACGTGCACTCGGGTACAAACACCGCTGCAACACAGATGCGATCTTCACACCTCCGTGTTCCCAAACACCTAGCGCCTCGGTGTACAGTGCAGCCCTGTCCACCGCCAACAACTCCGCCAGCGAATCTGCCTGATCCGCATCAGCCACAGCACAAAGTCGTTTACCCTCAACACGAATCCCCAGAATGGCCTCGACGTCATGTAACATGATCGTCATCTCACCGAACGGAAGGTGAAAAGAGTTTGTATCCGGCTGCCATCGCTCAATGAAAGCCGTGATCAGCGTACTGTCAATCTTATCGTGCATGGTGGCAGGAACGTGCTTCACCCCAGTGCCCTCCAGTCGCTCGAACATCTCGCTCTCCGCCGGCCAGGCCTCAGCCCATGTACGCAAAAAACTACAAGTCTTTTCCCGGGTATGACATTTCAACAACCCCGTAACTGAAGGCCTCTCCTGGTCCTCCCAAATACGGGCAGCTATGTGTCCTAGAAAGCTAGGAATCACACTCCCGTCAACAGGCCCACCGGGCACCTCACTCCTAACAACCCAAGAATCATTACCCGCCCTCGACCGTTTCCTGCTTGCCCCAGAGACAGTGGACGCAGATGATGTGCCAGATCTACTAACAAACCTACCACCCCTACCCTTACGCACCTCCACCATATGCGTCTCGTACATGTCATCAACCCTCTGACTGAATGGACCGTAATCATCATACGGTCCACTGCCATCGTCCACATCCTCATCCTCATCTGCGCCCTCCTCCTGCTCCTCCTCCTGGTCACCCTCCTCAGCATCATCATCGTCATCGTCATCCTCATCCCGACGGTGGATCCGTTCTCTACGAACTGAGGCCGAAATACCACGGGATCTGACATGTCTATGCCCCGACCTCTCCACTGAATAACTTCTACTAAGAAGCTTTATATTCTTCCCCCCACCATGACGACCCTACACAAAATTTTAAAATATATAAACATACAAAAATTTATACGATAAATAATCATCATCGCAAATCAAATACACTAAAAACAAACAAATAATAGTAAACAAAATATAAACGTAGAAAAAATACAACGAAATTGAAAAAATTTATAAAAATAAACAACAAAATATAAAAACAATTCAAAATTATATTACAAAAAAAAAAAAAAAAAAAAAATTTAAAAACAATTTTTTAAAAAAATTAAAAAAAAAATAAAAAAAAAATGGGGGGGGGCGCCCTGGCTGGACGCCCAGCCGGCGGTGGTGGCGCCAGATGCAGACGCCGCCACCAGTTGGCTGGCGTTTGGGCTGGACGCCACAGCCACGGCTGCGACGCTTAGACTAAACGCCACAACCGTGGCGGTGGCGTCCAGCCCAGGCGCCAGCCAACTGGTGGCGGCGTCTGCATCTGGCGCCACCACCGCCGGCTGGGCGTCCAGCCAGGGCGCCCCACCGCGTTCACGACGGTTTTCCCCTTTTTTTTTTTTTTTTTTAAACAAAATATACCTTTCCACCTTGGGACATCCTTCCCTCCGCCGCCGCCGCCACTTCCTTGCCTTGCCGCCTCGACATTGCCGTTATTTTGAATTTTTTTTTTTTTAGAGAGGTTGAAAGAAGATGAGCAATGAGAGTGTGAGTGATGAGAGTGTGAGTGTTTTTTTTTTTTTTAGGTCAAGGGCAATTTTGGGAAACCAAGTGAATTTTGTGGGCTTTATGTAGTAATTTGTGGGCGATGTTTAACAAATCCCTAATTTATTGGATGCTCCTCTAGAGTTACTCCCTCATTTTTTCACTTTATTTTATTTTTCATTTTTATTTTGTTTGGCCACAATTTTAGAGCCTATTTTTTTATATTCTTGGGCCAATCACCAGATGAGCACCGTAATGATTTTTCCATTCCCATAGTCAAACACTTTTTTTTGTAAGTAATGGTCTTCAATTTCTTCATTGGAAATTTGGATTCTAGAGCAGGCAATGCGGCAACGCATATCTTGTATTGCGTTTGTGCTCATGTGACTATGTGAGTCATGTCATTTTCAAGGAAAAAACAAACGTACTCCCAAGATATTATTGTCTAATGTCTGTAACAGTGTAACTCCATACTTTTACATCTTGTGACATCATCCGAGACAAAATTATCTTTATTGTTACATATGGAGTACTTTATATCCCATGAGGCAGTGTAAAGCATTGGACTGAACTTTGGCAAAAATCAAAAGTAGAGGACTCAACTTTTAAATGTCAAAAGCAGGGGACTCAGTCCACTTTTCCGTCTGAGATTACCTCCAGGCTTCAGCAACCAGTTATCAAACATTCAAACTTGCCTACTTTTATTTTTTATTTCTTTGAAAGCTTTGGAAAACTAAAAAATTTCTGTTAATGTAAAGTAGCCATTAGGATTGAATTGCTATTTATTTAAATCAAAGTTTGCAACAAAAACAGAAGCGCCGAAAATGGAACAACGGGAGGTCCAAAGAAGCCGTCGGAATAATCGCCTATACCTTTTTACCGACGGCTCTGACTACCGGAGATTCCGAGGAGTTTACAGAAAATGGCGTAAATCTTCTCCTCCTTCAACTCATTTTCATTGTCCAACTTATCCACGCAAATTACTCGAATGATAATATTTAGAGTATAGCATGTACCTGGGTGCAAAGACGAAATCGTGGACCAATTTGTTGATCGAAATTCCCTAAATCCCTCATTTTCACTCGTTCGAAAATTCCTAAATACCACAATTTTGCCACCACTCGTCTCCCAAACCCACAATTTAAGAATTAATCCGTACAACAATGGAGGTCGGCAACGCAGTGAGCAACTCCAGAAAATGCAAGTGAAGAAAGATAAGGTTTGAATTGGTTCACTCAAGAAAATAAAGGTGAAACAGATTAAAATTTGCCAGCTATTCTCCTCTCCTCCTTCATTCCCCACCACCACCCACCCACCATCATCGCACACCTCAAGAATATCTCCCCTTTTCTTCTTCAAATGTTCCCTTTTCCCAATTATATCCCAAACCCCTAATTTTCCCAGATTTGTTGTCCATAAATAATAATGATAATAATTTTCCCATATTTCTGCAATTTCAATTCGGAAATTAGGGTTTTGATTTTCTGCAATAAATTGTGTCACGCAAATGGTGATGAAGATGTGTTTTCTTCTCGATCAAGTGGGTATATATGTTTACAAGTTAATACACTACCTCCGTTTCATATTATTTGCAACGATTAGACATTTTTCCTTTCTACTTTATGTCAAATCGTTGCAAATAATATGAAACGGAGGTAGTATATGTTTTCTGCTGTAATTCAGACAACTTTAATTTTTTTTTTAAAAATAAATAAGGAAACTGTTTGTAGTAGGTCATGCAACCGGAGTTCACTTGCACAACCGCTTTCAGTCCCCTCATTTGAAAGTTGAGTCCCCTACTTTTGATTTTTGGCAAAGTTTAGTTCCCTCTAAGATGCTTTACTCTCATGAGGCATGACATGAGCCCATGACATCACACATGACGATGACCTATATGTATTTTACTTTATTCATTCAATGTAAAAGCTTAATTAATCTTGTATTTAATACTACCTTACAAAATTCAATAATCTAATTGACATCCATATTATAATACTCTCTCCGTTAATTTTTATTTGCAACTTTGGAGTGTTTTGCGTTTCACGAGGCAAAACTTAAGGAGCAAATATTAGAGGAAGTATAATGGTGATTAATATATTATAAGAGTATGTAATTAAGGTGGAAAGAGAATGTTTAAAGAAATCAACTACCCACTGCCACCACCAAGACCAGCCAACACCACCGCCGCCTCCACCAACACCATCCCCGGCTTCATCACCACCACTACCACCCCCACGAAACCACCACCACAACCAACCCCACGAAACCACCACCACCCTGGTTGTTTTGGAGAGAGAAAGAACAATTTAAAAAGGAAGAAGAAGAGTGGAGTGTAGTAGAGTAGAGACTAGCTTACTGAAATAGGAGAGAGAATGGTGGTGTGAGGGGCGGTGGTCGTGACTCGTGAGGAAGGAGTGATGAAGAGGCTGAAGGTGAAAAAGATAAACAGGGTGAAGGAGATGAAGAGAGGTTGAAAAAATAGATGAATGGGTGGTGGGTAGACTAGGAGATGATTAAATGGGGTGAGTAGAATTAGATTAATGATTTTAGATTAGATTAAAAAGATTATTTTGATTAAAATAAGATAAGGGTAAAATTAAGAAAATCTGAATTTTTAAGTAAGGGTAAATTTGTAATTTTCAGGGTTTTTGTTTACTAAAAATAGAAAGAAAATAAAAAGTTGCACATAATGATTAGCGGACTAAAATAGCAAAAGTTGCAAATAAAAATTAACAGAGGGAGTAGTTTTTATAGACCCGTACAAGTTTTTTATTTTGTGAAGAGTTCATGACACGTAACTCATGAAGTCCATATCAGCTTCAAGGGCAGACATAAATTGAGGTCTCAAGCAAATCTCCAAATCCACACTCCCTTTCCCTTCACGCCCCGGGTTTGCAGTCACCTTCCCATCATCCTTATTACCGTAGCCCATGCGAACAGCCAAAGCACGGCCCAGCACAAAATCAGGCCCATACATATCGAACCTTGCCGATCCTAATTAGTATACACTAGACCCTAGTGTAGGTACCATAACCTACACCCCCTACAAAACGCAGCGTTTTGCGTTTTTCCCCTACCCCCACAAACTACAGTAACTACCCCCACTAACCACAGTAAAAAAAAAAACTATCCATATCAAATTATTCTCTCTCTAAAAACCATCTTCTTCATTTTTGTAGAATTTCTCTCTCATCAACACCGTCGAATCGGAACGAAATTCTCTTCAAATTATTGCAAAATTGCTTCAAAACACTTCATAATTACTTCAAATGTCTGATATTCGAGATGAAATTAAACAATCGCAGCAGCATTTTGATAAAGAGTAAGTAATTTTGTTCATTTGATTACGATTTTAGTACAATTTTTGTATGAAGCATAATTTTGGTTCTTTTCCTTGTGATTGTAGAGTGATTTTGCAAAAAAACGCTTTAGAGAAGAACATGGAAGATAAAACTGGAAAATCAGAGCAAAATGTTACCAAAGAGTAAGTAATTTTGTTCATATTCTTGCGATGACAATTATAGTGCGATTTTATGTGTGAAACCTAATTTTTGTTCAATTTTTTGCAATTGTAGTATGATTTTGGAGAAAAATACTTCACAGACGAGTAATTTGTTGAAAATTTCTGAAGAAATGTATGAACCCTAACTTTTGTAAAACCTAATTTTTGTTAAAATTTTTTGCGATTGTAGTAATTGTTCTAAGATTTTACTGAAAATAACTAAAACATTAACAATTTATTAAATAAAACAGAGACGATGATGATGATGTACCTCTTCAGTCAAGAGTAGACAAATTGAAAAAAAACCGCCAAAATGATCCAATTGTAGATCCGGAACTTTTAAAAGATATTGACAAGTCAATTGGTACGGATTTAACAATGTCTCCACTACCAAGGTAATTAGTCATTTACAGAATATATTATGTTCATGTCTAATATGCTAGTTGTATTTGATAAAATTGGTTTTATCTTTGTTTAATATGTTATTTGTATATGATCATATTTGATACTCATAATGTTCATTTATAGATATAGTTATGATCATATATTTATATTTGTTCATATGAGTATTTATTGAGATTTAAAAACAAAAGTACATTTCATTGAAACATCATTGTATATGATCATATTTGATACTCATAATGTTCATTTATAGATATAATTATGATCATATATGTATATTTGTTCATTTGAGTAGTCATTGAGATTTAAATAACAAATATACATTTCATTAAATCATCATGCACATATATAAATATGATAATAATCATTTCAGTGATATGCATTCAAACTAATGTCATGTAATTAATTTATAATGTAGTGATGTGCCATTTAGAGTGATACACTTGCTTCAATTTAGAGATGGGAAATCTGAACCATTAACTCTAAAGAAGGTTATACAACAAAATGAATATGGTAATAGTTATGAAAGATACACTTTAAACAAGTAAGTTTATATGTATAAAATAATTGTTTTTACATTCAATTATTGTACATTGTATATATATACCAAACTTATTAGGTAATTCTTAAAATTTTAGTGAAAAAAAAAAGGTTCGAGTGAAATTTGTTATGTCAAAATCAAGACCACCAGAGACAAATCAAACAATAAGGTATAAAAGCTTTATACAAAATAACTAATTATCTTCTTCATTGTATAAATTAGTTCATACTTTAATATCATATTATATAAAATAATTCTGTTTTTTTTAAGTGAACAAAGTGAGAACATTCCTGCTACTAATGCAACAACTAAGAGTGTGTCTGCTACACATAACACAACTGACAAAGAGAGCAGGGATGAAAGGTATACTAATGATCAATTTTATATAAACAAATGTTCATTTTTATAACAGTATATTTTATGTACAATTTATGTGCATTTTTTATTTAAAGTATTTCTTAATATTGATTTCAGCAAGCAAGAAGAAGTTCAACCAAAAGTGCAAAGCAATCCAGTAAAGAATAGTCTTGGCCAAAAGTAAGAAAACTTAAATGTTCAATTTAGATAGACTATATGTTCATTTGAAAATCAGTACAAAAAAGTTTGCTCATGGCCAATAGTAATATAAGTTATATGTTCATTTTTTTATTTACTAATCAAAATTGTAAATTCAAACATATTTTTAATGAAATATCAGAAAACCCAAAGATGATTCAAGAATAACAACATTAAAGGACAAGATGCAAGAAATACATTTAGACATAGAGAGAAACCCAAAGTATGTTTAAATTTAAATAATTGAATTAATTTAATCAATTAATGAATATATTTCAAAGTTAATATCATACATTTACAGAAAGTACAAAGAATCAACAATCAGAATTATGAGAAATCTCAAAAGAATGGAAAAGGCAAGCAAGGAAATCAGGAAAGGTAAATGATCATATTTATTGAATATTTTTGTTTAATAGTCATAAATATCAATTTTAACAATACTATTACTTTTGAAGGTGAAGCAAAAAAGAAAGAAAAAGGGCCAATAGAAGAGAAAACTGTGGAAAAAGGTAAAAATTTTAAAATGTACATTTTTATTACAAAAAATGTTCATATTGGAAAAGCATAATATTAAATATTCAATAAGATTAAAAAAATTAAATTTTAACTAAATAAATTTTAATAGAAGTACAAGAAGGAAAAAAAGGGACTGAAAAAGAGAAAAGCCCTAAAGACAAAACTGTGGAAGATGTCTTTCCAAAGACAACAAATGTAGAAGGTAAAAATTTATAAATGTACATTTTTATTACATAAAATGTTCATATTGGATCTACATAATATTGAATGTTCAATAAGATTAAAAAAATATATAAATATTAACTAATTAAATTTTCATAGAAGGACAAGAGGGAAAAAAAGAGCCTGAAAAGGAGAAAATCCCTAAAGAGAAAACAGTGGAAGATGAGTCTACAAAGACAACAGATCCGAAAGGTAAATAGTGGAAAATGTACATATTCATTACCTGAAATGTTCATTTATATTGTATATAGTAAACTTTTGTCATCCAATTTAATAATGTTTATTTAATCTTTTATATTTGATCATTTCATATGCAGCACAAATTGCACCTGATTTTGTTCAAATTGAGGATGAAACTTATCTTCTAGATCAAGATGATGATAAAGTTTCCACAAAACTTAGTGAGGAGACAGCTCCATCATCACAAAAAAGTGATCAGTCAACCAAAATGAAAACAAGATACAAAATGGTTGCAAGGAAAAACAAAAACAAAAGCCTTGTTGTTGTGCCAAGTGGTAGAATTACAAGGAGCCAAGGTAATCATAATACTTTTCTGTTACACAATAAATATTACACTTTCAAATATACTAACATAAATTTTTTTAAAAACAATAGATGTTCTGTTAGATGAATCTAAAAAGGGAAGCCTGAAGAAGGATGTTGAGCCTGCTAAAGAAACCGCAAAAATAGGACAGAAGAGAAGAATGTCTACAAGGAATTTTCCTATTCAAAAGGAAGCTGATGCACCACCTCCAGCACCTACTCCAATAAAAAAAATGGCAGGTGCTCCTGCTGAATATCCTCCAGACCAAGGCAAAAAGGGTAAATGTTCAATCTTAATGTATAGAATGATCATTTATGATGGTATATCATTAATGTTCAATTTCAATATATAGGTGGGAAAAAGAAAACTCTAGAAGTGAAGAAAACTTCTAAGGTTGCTGGCAAAAGAAAAGCAGGTATATAATGATATATTATAAATGTTCAATTTCTATATATAGAATGATCATTTGAGAAAACAATTTTGTTCATTTTATCATTTGCTTACTGTACATTTTCAATACTTAAACAAAATTATATATTTAATTTTCAGATGTCAGTCCTGCCAAGAGAAATGCTGGAAAGAGAAAAAAAAATACAAGAAGTACCATCAGATGAACCCTCTCAAGATCCTGACAGTGATGATGATAGTGAAGAGTCAGTTTATAGAGCAGAAGAAGAGCCTGTCAGTGAGGATGATTATGAGGTGGAGGAAGAGGAGGAAGAGGAAGAAGTAAAGCCAAGGAAGAAACAGGCAAAGAAAGGGAATTCAGTGAAGGCAAAGGTTGAAAAGGAGGAGCAAAAGATGGTACTGTATGATGAAGGAAAGATTGAAGGTAGGAGAAAAAAGAAAATGAAAACTGAAATGGTTCAAGCAATAGAAACTGATGAAGTTGAGGAAATTCAGGAAGATGAATTTGAGGAAGAGAAATCTTCAAAGAGAGGAGGACATGTGAAGTTCATTGCATGGATAAAAAAGATGACACCTACCCAAAAACAACAAATTATTGATATAGGGTTAGGATCACTTCTTGACATTAGTTTACCTCAACTTGATCAAAAGTTCTGTAACTGGTTATTGGGAAGTTTTGAAGAAAATAGCCAGTATTTTGAACTACCAAAGAATGAAAAAATAGAAATTGAGGTAGAGGATGTTAGGGTAGTTTATGGCTTGCCTACAGGAGAAATTCCAATTGTTGAGCCAAAGTCTGATAAAATTAGTGAGGAGTATGCAGAATTTCTGAAGAAATGGAGAAAATCATGGTCAGGAAAAACTCCATCAGTGAGTCAGGTATGATCAGTTTTAAATGTTCATTTTAAATACATTAAATGATCAAAAGTATAAATGTTTTGTTCATTTTGTTTGCAGATTGTGAATGGATACATAAATGATAAATTCACCAACAACAGACCACCAAGTGAACATTTCATTACTAACTTTTTAGCAGTGGCTGTGAACTGCTTGATGAAATGTGTATCAAACAATCAATGCCATTTCAAATTTCTTTATTCTATGATGGACAAAGAAAACATAAAAAATTTGAACTGGTGTCAGTTTGTATATGACTCACTTATCAAATGTCATGTTGATTGGAGAAAGCAGCAAGGCAAGGGGTTCTACAAAGGCCCTCTTCAATTTCTGATGGTATATTCTTAGATACAAGATGTTCATTTAAATTTAAATAAATGCACTTTTTTTTATTGTTTATGTTCTGTTCCATGTTTTCTTTTTTCTTGTAGTTGTTCTATTTTGATAGAGTTCAGAGGTTAGACAAAAGGCCTCCAAGAACAATTCCTATCATATCTGCATGGAATAGAGACATGGTTCTTGAGAGGTTGAAGATTGAATTAGAATTGGGATTTGGGAGAGGGAAAATTCTACCAAGGATTGCTGCAGAAGTTGAAGAAAGTCCTAAGGTTATAAAATGATCACTTTTGTTAACATAAATGTTCATTTGTATAATCTGAAATGTTCAACTGCATAATTTTTAATATTCATTCATATAGGTTTTTATGGATGATTTTGTTTCCCTGGTAAAAACAACTTGTTCAAACCTGTCAAAGCTTTCTTCAAAATTGGTGAAGGCAAAGGATATCTTCCCTGGAAATGACTTGGTGAAAAAAGTTGATGAAGTTTTAGGAAAGGTGGTAGCTAGGGAACCATCAATTCTAAGCCAAGATGAAGAATTCTTTGGCAGTGAGGATTTCCTAAATGCACTTGCACAAGCTGAGAAGAATCTGATGCAAGGGTCTGAAAAGCAAACAACTGAGAAGCAAATGACTGGGAAGAAATTAACCAAAAAGGGAAAGGAAAAAGAACAAGAATATGACATCAGAAAAGCTTTCAGCTTGGGGTTGACTCCACCTTCTCCAGCCATTGGTAAATTCTAACTAAAAGAGACTATATATCCTAATTTTTATATGAAAAATTCTAAATTTGTGGTCTAAATTGTCCTAAACAGAAACAGGGCCCACCTTTTCAACACTTGGTGATATAATTGAACAACCAATAATTTCAACAAATGGTAATATGTTCATATATTTAATAATAATGTACATAAACTTAAGTAGAAATGTTCATTTCTAATTATTATGTGTAAATACTATTAACTTAGTGTATCTCCAAAATGATGATTTATAATACAGCTGGAGAAAAGGATGTGGGTAAAACTTCAGCAGCTTCAGAACAAAGAATTGAAGAATTTTCTAGAACTGGTATAATGTTCAATTAAAAAGTGTAAAATGTTCATTTACAAACAAGAAATATTCATTATTAATTGTATTATTTTGTTAGACGCAGCAACTGGTTCAAAACTTGATGCTGACACTAGGTCAGATAATGAAGGATTGCCTAGAACAGGTATAATGTTCAATTATAAATACTCAAATGTTCATTTACAAAGAAATTATATTATATCTAATTAAATTTTTTCTTAGATGCAGGATCTGGTTCAGTGGTTGATGCTGACCCTAGGTCAGATGGTGGTGAAAAAAGTGATGATCCAAAAAACACAGTTGGAGGTGGAAAACAAAACAAGGAAGATGTTTTTGAAAAAACAAAAAATGATGAAAAAGTGGAGGGGTAAAATCCTGAAGACATGTCTTACTATTAGGGTTATGTAATGGTGTAGGATAAAATATCTAGATGGAACAATTTAACTTATGTTACTATCGTGTTGTAACTTGAAACTGGTGTTTCTCAAACTATTGTATGTGTGTGAACATTATTTTGTTGAATATGTAATATGAATGTGTGGTTTATGTTAAATCAATAGGTTTATGTTAAATCAATATCTTTCATTTTATGAATTGAAAATGATTCAGGGTGTTACATAAGAAGCTTTTATTTTATTAATATGTACTGACATTGTTTCACTTTTCAGTGAAAACAAGAAGATTGTTGCTTCATCCTCAAAAGTCACAAAAAGGTACATTATTTATATTAAGTAAATGTTCAAAAATAATAATGAACATTTTCATATACCTAAATGTACATTTGTGTTATGTAATATGACCAGGAATGATGATAAGAAAAAGTCAATTGCAGAAAAGAAGAAAAAAACTGAAAAGGAAAAGGTTGAAAGGTATAATTTCAAATTTATTTATATACACTCAAATGTTCATTTATGTTCCTCATAATTTTCTTAATTTAACAATATTTTATATTGAACAACAAGACCAAAACGCGAAAAGAAAACACTTCCTCCTGCTTTCCGATCTCCTTACTTGGTCAAGTACAAGGATCTGTTTAAAGATGAGAAAGCCATGAACCAAATTGCAGTAGACTTTGCTCTTGGTGGAAAAGATGAAAGGTAATTACTTACACTAATTAAACTTAAGGTTTAATATCTTTTATAAAAATATGTTCACATTCATATTATTAAATGTTCATAATGCAGTGCACTCTTATACTATGATGGCTTGAATCTCATCAATAGAAATGAAATGAAAACTCTTGGAGATGATGTTGAAGTGACAAATTGTGTCATAGATGGATGGGCAAGGTTTCTTAATCATAAAAAGCCGAGAAACAAGATTTATTTCTCAACAGTGCTTCATGTTAGTCTTTCTTCTTTTTTTATATTATTGATTCTATTTTCCTATGATAAATAATTGCTAAAAATTCATTTAACTTCTATATGTTTGTTTGTATTTCAACAGCACATTATGTGCACAAATAGAGTTTGTCAAGAAGGATCATCAATGAAGACAAGAATTAATGCCTTCATAGAAAGAATTGACAATGAACTGAAGTTGA